AGAGAGAGAGAGAGAGAGAGAGAGAAAGATGTGTTTGTGTGTATGTGTGTGTGTTTTTTTGTTTTGTTTTTGTTATTGTTGTTTTGTTGTTGTTGTTGTTGTTCTCGTTGTTGTTTTGTTTTGTTTTTGTTATTGTTGTTTTGTTGTTGTTGTTGTTGTTGTTGTTCTCGTTGTTGTTTTGTTTTGTTTTTGTTCCTGTTTACAGAACTGTTTAATAAAGAAGCGGCGGCCAACTTGAAAGCCCACTGACCTGTTTGTTCTTATTCTTATTCTATGAGATGATAGTCCATGAACTGAGTCACACCCCTGTCACAGGTATGCCTATCAGTCAACATGGCAACTCGGGGTGACTTTGATACCAACAACGCGACTTACGTGAGACACGTGAGCTATTACAGATAACAAGAGTACGAGTGACCTTCGACCTTTGGCTGAAATGTCCACACTGGGTCATGCAGTTCTTTCGTTACGAAACGAACTCACTTGCTTTGAGTCATGTCTGCTTTTCAAATAGCCAACCTGAAGAAGTACGTTATCTTATTTTTCTCACAAAAGTTCCTTTTGGTAATCTGTCGTTGTTCTTCTTGTTTTTCAAGCCTGTTGATATCATGTAAAGGAAAGAAGGGGGAACATTTTTCCAACAACAAAAAATGTCAAGTCACCTTGTTGCCTGTTTTAAATTGAGTGGCGTGTCAGACAACATACGATATATGGACGTATCTATATCTCTGTTTTTACCTTTTTATGCAGATTTTAATTATCTCTAGATCTAGATCTATTTTAAACGACTGTCCCCGGGGGAAAAATGTCATGCGTTGCCACTTCTTGACCCATAGCCCTGAAATATAGTTTAGCAGAAAGTGGGTATAGGCTCGTTCACTTTCGTTTGATCGCGGTTAAAACGGGATAAAAACAAATCGCTCTGTTTAATCGTTGTGGGTCTTTGCATGAGGGTCTAAAAGTTAAGCGACCATCATCATTATCATCATTCATCATCACCTGGTGCCTTGCCGACTAGCGTGGGCGATCATGGACCTCCACTTCACTCTGTCTTGCGTTGCAGCAATGGTGTCTGTTGTTCTTGCTGCTCCTAGCAATGTTGTCATCTTGTCCAGTATCTTTTCCCTCTGTCTGCCTCTGCCTGTCTTTCCCTCAAACTTGCCTGTTGTTACAATATTCTCCGATGCTTCTTTCCGCATTGTGTGTCCGAAGAAATTTGAATGTCGCTTTCTTATATTCGATATAAGCTGTCTTCTATAATTTGCTTCAACCAAGACTTCTTCATTTGTTTTTCTAGCTGTCCATGGGATACGTAGCATGCGTCTTATGAACCGCAACTCTGTCGCCACAATCGTTCTTTCCAGCTGTTTATTGATTGTCCACGCTTCACACCCGTATAATAGGATTGGCTCGATGTAACTTTTCAGTACTCTTTTTCTCATTTCCAGTGACAGATTAATGTTTGTTAGTATCTGTTTCCTTTTGTGGAAGGTTGCTTTTGCTTGACAAATGCGGCTTTTAATGTCGGTGTGACATCTACTGTCTGATGAAAAATGGTCCCCAAATATTCAAAATATTGTACTTGCTTCAGGGTGGTATCATTTATTTTGATATTGCATGTTGGGGTTGGAGTTTTTCTGCTTATCACCATTGTTTCGGTTTTCTTGATGTTTAGGCTTAAGCCCATGTTGTCACTTTCTTGTACGATGACATTAAATAGATTCTGCAGGTGTTCTTCATCTTTTGCTGCATATCTTAGATGTATATATTATGTCCCCCTATCGAGATACCTGGCATTTCTTCTATGTGTCTCATGATATTTTCCCTATACAGGGAGAGCAAATCTGGAGAAAGTACACATCCCTGTCTGACTCCTCTTTTAATCTGTATGTATTCGCTGATGTCGTTTTCTATTCTCATTGTACCAGTTTGATCCCAGTACATGTTTCTTGATAATCCTTAAGTCCTTCCCGTCGATATTGAGGACTTCCAGCATGTCGATGATCTTGTCGTGACTAATTTTGTCGAATGCCTTGGTGTAGTCTATAAAACATAATAAATATCTTTCTGAACTTCTAGGGCACGTTCTATTGTTGTTCTGATCACATATTATATGGCATTTACAATGCCTTTGCCTTCAATAAATCCACACTGTTCTTTGGCTATTTCTGGGAGAATTTTATTTCGTTTATCGTCATAATCATCATTATTTTTTAAAATTATTATTATT